TACATGATTTTTTTTTGTTATGATTTTTTTCAAAATTGTCTCATTATTTTATTATTTTTAATATTGAGTTGATTTAGAATTATACCTGTATATATGCTTATGAAATACTATAGATTGAGAATTTATTTTTATCTTTGTCCATTATATTTTTTTTTATATTGAGCTGATTGATAATTTACCTTCGTAGTTTTTTTTTTAAAAAACATTGAGGATTACTATAGTGTTCTCCCACATGATTTTTTTTGTTATAATTTTTTTCAAAATTATCTCCTCCATTTTATTATTTTTAATATTAAGCTGATTGAGAATTATAACTGTAGATTTTCTAATGAAATACTATAGATTGCTACAGTGTTTCCTTGTATGATTGTTTTTTGCCTTTCATTTTTTTATGATTTTTTCAAAATTTTCTTTGTTAATTTTATTTTTTTAATATTAAGCTGGTTAAAAATTTATTTTTGTAGTTTTTTCTTGAAAACATTGTGGATTGCAATAATTTTTTTCGTATTATTTTTACAAACTCATAATAATGCATAAACAAGCCATAAGCCCGTGACATTGTACGGGCATAGCATGTAGTATGATATTATGTGTCGTTGAAGTTTGTGAACCCTTGTATTGAAGTGTTAAAATTGATAATCCGATCCTATTATATTTTAACATTAATTACATAACAATACCACTTAAATAAATAAATTAAAAAATAAAAAATAACCCATTAATTATCACAAAGAAATAGAATCTAAATTATAAAATCTAGATTAATTAAAATATAACCCATTAATCTTGTTTCTCTTTAAGCAATCGAAAAAGTGACATCGGACCTCCCAATTGTACATGGACAGACAACTAGTTTGCTATTATAATTAATGCTGCAAATTATAATTTCATATGGTATTTATAATTGAGGGAGAAGTATTCCCTCGAATCCAATATTAATTGGATCTTTTGGTTATAAAAATATATTTGAAAGTGTGTATTTTAAATATTAAATTTCAGATTCGAGTTGAAGCCTGTTTCAGCCAAGACTTGGTGGTTATGTCTTAGAAAAAAAAGTAGTTATGCTACATGTTTCTAATGGTACTCTGGTGGTAAGGAAAAAAAAAAAAAGCCACACCAACCTATTTGTTTAATCAATTATATTTAACAAAATTTTTAATATAGTCAGGTTTTTTATACATAAAATAATTATTCTTGAAAATCTTCTTCTTTTACATTATATATATATATATATAGAAACCCATAAAGCCTTCGTCAGGAATTTCATTAATCTCATTGTTTTTTTAAAGCCTTCGTCTTTCTATAGAGTTTTATTTTTAGGCGAGGAAAGGAATTTCATTAATCTCATTGTTTTTTTTTTTTAATGAAAAGAAGAGAAATCACGTCGATTTTAAGTGACCACTAAACATTCTTATTCTTGTTGAATACAACTAATAAAAGAATCAAATTGAGAATTGATTTAATAGATATTAAAGATAAAGATTTATGAGAATTACTCCATTGTAATTTTGCAAGGAGAGAGAGGGGGTGACTTGTGACGTGAGGGTGTAAATAATGATAATTAATGGCTAATTAAGGTAATTGAGTAAGTAGCCATCTTTTGAGTCTTGGCGTTGTCTATTTCTACTAGCGGGTAACGGAGGGAGGGAGGGAAGGAAGGAGAGAGAGAGGATGCTTTTCGATTTGGTTAACGTGGGAAAGTTGAAGTAGGAAAGAGACGGTTCTTTCTCTCTTCCAATCTCTCATTTCCCCAACCCTTGTCCCTTTGAGAAAATAAATAAATAAATATATTAATTACAGACAGCAGACAGTAGACACCCACCATAAAGCAGTTAAATCTTGTTTGTTCAGGTTTAAACTTAAATTAAATAAAGAAATATTGGGTAATCACAGAAGCCAAAATAGACTAACAGCATATCAAATTTTACTATCAACATGATAATTTTTTTTACTAAAATTAATTTTTTTATATTTTGAATTGATACATTAATTTTAAAAATAATTTTTTAAAAATAAAAAATATTATTTTAATATATTACAACATAAAAAGTATTTCGAAAAAGTAAATAACAAAAGAAACAAAGGGTCTTCTCTCAAAAGAGAGAGAACCTATGCAAGCATGCCATGAGCCATAAAAACTATCTAGTAGTAAATAAAAAAGGAAGGCAGGGCAAGTTGTTAGAGAGAGGAAACGCGAGGGAGTAGAGAGTTATAGAGGAGGTATTATGGTGGGTGTGGATGCTTTCGGCTAAGCTTACTCGAACTGGCCTCGTCTATGCTGTATTGGGCAGTTAGGGATTTAACAAGATCTTGAAACATTTCTCCCTCTACCATACCTTTTTGCAACAAAAACTGTCTCTCTCTCTCTGGGGAGTCTGAGGTTTTTTCCTTTGAATACTCAAACCATTTCTCTCTCTCTCTCTCTCTCTCTATGTATATATATAAATATGCTTCATTATTTATTTGACTCACAAAAACCAAGATAAAACTTTCTTCTTTAGCTTCTCCTCTTCTTCAATCAGCCACCACTAACACCATCAATCTGCATCCTTCGTTTCTTTCCCAGTCTTTCTTCATCTTTCATTATAGTCTGCTTTTTCTCTCATGGTGGAGGGTTGTGGAAAATCTTGCAATCTGCTTCAAGTTCTATCTTGAAAACCACTCAACAAAAGGAAAAAAATGTGGAACTTAAATGACTCGCCTGATCAAACAAGAGACGATGAATCCGAGGGATGTTCAAGTCAAAAAACATCAATTGATGGCGAAGATGACAAGGGCAAAAGGGTCGGATCGGTGTCCAATTCCAGCTCTTCTGCTGCAGTATTTGAAGATGGATCAGAGGAAGAGGATGCTGTTGGAGAGAAAGGAAATAAAATAATCAAGAAACGTAGTATAAGCATTAGCAGCAGCAGCAGCAAGATTTTCGGGTTCTCGGTGCCTTATGATCAATACTCCATGGACATGAGTGATCCACCAGTGACCCGGCAGTTCTTTCCTCTAGAAGATCAAGAAATGGGGTCCACATCGGGCGTTGGGGGTAGTTTTGGAGGTGGTGATGGAGTTGGAGGTGGATTTCCTCGGGCTCACTGGGTTGGTGTCAAGTTTTGCCAATCGGAATCATCACTTGCTTCTCAAAAATCCATGGAAGTCTCTCAACCATTGAAGAAAAGTAGACGAGGACCACGGTCCAGGAGCTCTCAATACCGCGGTGTTACCTTCTACCGGAGAACTGGCCGATGGGAGTCTCATATATGGTTAGTGTTTTGGGTGTGCTGATAAATTTTTACTTTGCTGTTATCCTTCCCAACCTTTTCTTCTTTTTCCTTTTTTAGCTGTGGTGTTGGTGTTTTTGACAATCAAAATTTATGATTTGGCTTTTCGAATGATCTTGATGCAGGGATTGTGGGAAGCAAGTGTATCTAGGTATGATTTAGTCCAGTTTTGTTTTTTCATTATTACAAAGATTTAGGCTTGGAGAAATATGGCTTCTGTCATCCATTGTTCAAACATTTCTGATATGGGTGAGATTGGTTTTTTGCTTGTATATTTTGTATTTCTATAGGTGGATTTGACACTGCACATGCAGCAGCTCGGTGAGTTCTCATGGTTCCTTATTTGCTAAGCGTGAAAGTTATGCTTGTCTTCTTTCGAAAGGCCAATAGCCTATAATTTTCAGGTCCAGCACTCCAGACTGTAAGATTGAAAGAGTCTTTTCCTTTTATTTCTTTTGCAGTGCATATGATAGGGCAGCTATCAAGTTTCGGGGAGTGGAGGCAGATATTAATTTTAGAATTGAAGATTATGAGGAGGACTTGAAACAGGTAAAGGGAGGGAGGGAGGGAGAGAGAGGGGGAGGGAGAGATTGTGCTTGTTTTGTAGAGATTTTATCTTATCTACAATAGTGATTCCAAACCTTATCTTGTACAGTAGTGTTTTCGATACGCTTTTCTTTTCTTTATGTTGCTATTGGAAAACAAAGAAAAAAAAAGATACATATCATCATATGGTCTTACAAAGAGGTGATTCCTGTGTATGGTGACAGATGAGCAACCTCACCAAGGAAGAATTTGTTCATGTACTTCGCCGGCAAAGCACAGGATTTCCTAGAGGTAGTTCCAAGTATAGAGGTGTAACCTTGCACAAGTGTGGAAGATGGGAAGCTCGAATGGGCCAATTCTTAGGCAAAAAGTAACCATTTCTTTCTCATCTTCAGACGTTTTACACATCAATCCAATTTCATTGCCTTGCTTCTGTCAATATTTGCTGTGATAAATTTTAATTGCAGGTATGTTTATTTGGGCTTGTTTGATACTGAGATTGAAGCTGCAAGGTGTGTATGTGTGTGTCCTCACTATTTGTTTTGTTTTGTGTACACTTTGATCGGTATTATCTAAGATACTGTAGCCTATGGGGAATCAATCAATGTAATCTCGTGTTGTTAGGTGGAGTTTTAAATATTCTTTAACTCTTTATAGGGCCTATGACAAAGCTGCAATCAAGTGCAATGGCAAGGAGGCAGTAACCAACTTTGATCCTAGCATTTATGAAAATGAGCACTCAATTGGTAAGTTATTTCGAGGATATCCATGGTTTTTTTTTTTCTTTTCTATTCTTCTATTTGCTCGTGTTAATTCAACTAATTATGTATATGTTGGTTAGAATCACAAGGCAATGCTGCGGATCATAATCTTGATTTGAGCTTGGGCAATCCAGCTTCGAAGCAAATAGAATTTGGTCAGGATAGGCACAGTGTTGCAATGGAGCAACATTCAGCAACTATGCCATTTGAACCTAATTGGCAAAATCGGGGGCTTAGACCCAGGGTACAACACTAATTAATTTGACATTTTAACTTGGTTGTTTTGCCCTATGTTGCTCTTGTCTTCTATTTTTGGTCCGTGTTGTAGTGTTTAACTTTGCTAAAGTTTTTTTTCATGGCATTGTAAACACCAGCAGCTTAACCTTTGTACAAGTGACAATGATGGACATGGAAGAGATGGGTATGGAGAGACTGAAACGACTCAGCTTCTTAGCAAAATCCACATTCAATCTCCAGCATCACTCAAGTCCAGTGAAATGCCAAGATACGAGCAGTTCAGGAGATCACTCGGAGATAGTCAGATTCATCCTTTTCTTCCCCCACAGTTTAACCCACCAAATTATCAAGTGAGCTTCCATATAATTAAGCTCGTGCAAACAAAAAAAGTAAAGGTCTTTTAACTAGTTGAATTGTTGTGTTTCAATTCTTCTCTAGACTCAGCATCCAAGCAGCAGCAATGGAGGCCGAATTGGAAGTGATCTTTCTCTCACCCCATCTGAGCTTCATTATCACCATCATTATCAGCAATGGCAAGCAGGTCCTCCCCGGTTTGCAAATGCTGCAGCATCATCAGGATTCCAACAGCAGATTAGGACTCCACAAAACTGGCTGCAGAAAAATGGGTTCAACTCTCTCATGAGACCCTCTTAACCCATGCATAAAGTGGCCGTTCCATCTTCCTTGCTATGCTATCTCAATCCTCACCATGTTTGCTAGCTGGGTAACATGTAAAGAGCAAGGCTTTTAACTACGAGGCAGGTTGTTTTTATATCACTGTCCGCCCATCCCCAGAGAGAACCACCACCAAGAAAATCACGAAATTGTTGGCCAGAACATAAAAAAAAAAAAAACAAAGAGAAGGAAATTCCAAGTCTTTGGGAAATGTTTGCTGGTCATCAGTCAAAACTAATAAAGGGACGAAATCTTCAATTAGATATAAATTCATTTCTGGGATCTGACTAAAACTGCAGGCCTTGTTTTTTTTCCATTTTTTTTCTCAATCTTCGAAGTAAAAATAATGTTGTTCTGTGGCTCCTCTTGCTTCGCCGCTCTATTGGGTGTTTATCGCTGCTCTTTTTCTTTAGGGCTAATATAACCTGTCCAGGAATGTTGTATTTTGGTTACAAGGGGCTATCAACACCAATACCATGTGTTTGCTGACGTCTTTTAGGTTGCCTGATATTATTTTATTTGAGTCGCCGAGATAGCTATATTGGATTGGTTGAGGGCGTTTTTCTTTTTTGTGTTTCTTTTAGCTCTTTACCCTTGTCTAGGTCTGAAATAACTGTTGGAGGCTGATTCTTTAGTTCCTGAATTGAGTAATGGCTTGGCATAAGGTATGATGAAGTGTTCTTGTAAAATATTTGATATTTGATTATTTTTTTATATTCTCACACTGTTTTCGACGTCTGACTTTTAAAATAAAAACACTGTAAAATATTATCTTTATCACCAGAAAGATATAGCCAAGAAAAATGTAAGCTTCAATTTTACTATCAAAAGAAGAGAGAGTTTAGAGCCATACAGGCATGAAAAATGGAACTTGTTTTTGTGCCTTGGAAATATCAATGAATGGCGATGAATAGTCGCTATCTTTCATGTCCTTTGAATCAGTTCTCTCGGCCAAAAGCAGTCAGACATGGCTATTATGACGAGCGGGACTTGTCAATATTAGCCCCTAGCAAAGGACATGAACGGGTGTGCTTATGAGCGCAGAGAGAGAGAGAGGGGGGGAGAGAGGGAGCATTGTGTTAGCAGTAAAGATTCACTTGGGTTTTTAACCTAGTCGTTTTTCACTTTTTACACAAGGCAAAAGAAAAACTTTTTTTTTTTTGAAGTTATTATAAGGTAAAGAAAAAATAAAATAGGAAATTTTTATTGTAGTAGTAATTATTTTTAAAATTAAAATAATATTTTTATATTTAAGTATATTAAATACAATGAAAATATATAAAAAATTAATTTAAATAAAAGAGAAAAATAAAAAGAATTTAAATCTTTTTAAAAGTATTTTTAAATCGAAAAAATAAATGAGCTCTTTAAAAAAATACATAATTTTACATGCTAAATAATAAATTAATGGCTAATTTAATTTTCATTTGTGAAAATTCTATATTATTCAGATCACGGCATCTTGGAACAAGGATTATTAGTAGCATGCAAAAAGCAAAAATCTTATGCTCCCTTCATTGCATATTTATTGGTCTTTGTCGGTGTCAAATTAAGGTTATATATAAATTAATTTTGACAAAATTTTTTAATTACTCTTATTGATTTAAAACTTAAAAGATTAAGTTTTAGAAAGATTATTATTTTTAAAATACTAATTCAATGTATTTTTAAATAAAAATCACTTTAAAAAAAGATTATTATTTTTAAATAAAAATCACTTTAAAAAACAATTATTACCAAAACTCTCAAAACCCTAAATATACAATACCTCACAAGTACTCATAGAGAGTGCAAATTTAGAGACATTGAAAAAGGCTCTGATAATTCCTTTTGTGCTACTGAATGTTTATTGAGCCTTTTTATTAAATTAAAAAGAAGAAGAAGAAGAAGGGAAGAAAAATACTAAGCATCTGAATACTTAGGAGTAATTTTTCTTACATAAATTGTGTGTCCACGGTTTCGAAAGGATTCCCAAATCTTAAACTTGCAGGAATAAGCGTACGGAGGAACAGCGGCCAGACTTTTGAATATTGAGAAAAAAAATCCCACGAAGAACCCAGAGCTGCTACATAAAGTATCCCCATTTGATTAGTCCAATGATTTAAGATTAATATCCAAGTCATTAAGATATAATAGATAGGTACAACGTCTATAATATTACAAGCGATTCTTTCGTCATCTGGGTCGTCACTGCCAGATATTTTTAAGGGCCAACGAGGGCTAAGATCAGGGAACCTAATTTTTTATGATTAAGGTTAATATTTTATGCTTAGGATACACGTCTACCGTCTTGTTACCAAGCGTTTATCGCTTATTTTATTTCTCAAAGCGTACATTCATGAGCTGAACACGCAAGTCAAAATCCTTCTTTTTGACAAAACATACGACTCCATATGTCTAAAGCATATGCTGGCTCTATCGGTCGTCGAATCAATTAGTACATGCTTTATTACTAATCCTGTACATTGTGGAGCGAATACAATATGAGAGCTTGGAACAGCTTCTTTCATGTCCGTTTTGTTCTATTTTTCCCGTCAGTTCTCATGTGATGACTTGTGCGGGCTGCCATCTAAAAATGGCCATGAAAGCAAAGAATAATAGGGCTTAGCACTCCCCTTTTGACCACTATAATGGTAGGCCTCTGTAGCGACCTGCCTAACCCAAGTTTTTTTCTTTCAGAAAGAAAGAAAAATAGAGAGTGCAGGTCTGATAACAGTCCCTCCCTTCACACAACAAAATAATGTAGTGTCAAAAGAAGAATGGTAAAAAAAGATAAGAGAAATCAATGCCACGGACCACCATGACACCGTATGGAGAAAAGGGAACTCCACATATGAAGGGAACAAAGTGACTTTGTCCTTTAGCAGAACTCAAACACCCTCTCCTTAGATCCTCTCAGTTGCATCGGATCTACGAAACACTGCCATGTCCCCAGACAGACAGATTCATCTCTCTCTCTCTCTCTCTCCCCCCCTTGTCTTTCACCATGACTTAAATTTGTGGTCTTGAAAACAAAAGAAAAGGGAAAAACGAAAAGGTAAATGTGAAGAAGTGAGATGTGACAATAAAGGGGGTGAAAGAAAACGTGAATCATGAAAAGACAGCAAAGTAAAAAAAAACAAATGAGTGCATATATATATATATATATCCTGCCGGTCTGCTTTTTATTTTTAATTTTTCTTCTTTGATGACGGGAGAAGAGAGGAGAAGAGAACAGAAGAGAAGAGGGATTTCCCAAAATGGAACTGGGATGTGTTTTCTGTGGTTGAAAATGATAATGGACGAATCAATTATCAATTATTTGTGCTTTTTTTGTGTATTTTATTATTGTTAATGTTGTGTCATGTGTGTGCGGTCTGACTGATGCCAAGAGCCAAAGGGCCAATTGAATACGAGGGTGACTGTGACTGCGACTGTGACTTGACTGTGAGGCGCAGGAAAAATAGGGTTACTGTTTAATTAGAGGTGGTAATTACAGTATTAATTATAATTATATTATGAGGGACTGTCCGTTTAGTGTTAGGTCGCTTTCATCATTCACTGAGACAAACTACCCTTTGATTTCCCTTTGTAGGACGCATTTGCCCATTTGCTACTCCAACTCTATTTCTCTCGCAATAAGGACCCCTCTTTGCCTTCTCTCTCTCTCACACTTGCCTTTTATGGCATTTCTTTGGCCTTTGGATTTCAAAATTGGACCACTGAATTTTATTTCGGCAACAAGTAGCTTTCTTGTGTTGGATCTTTGTATCATTGTATTATTATAATTACAATGCTGTATTTATATGATTTATGTTGTTAATAAAATTATTATTTTTGAAAATGATGTATTATTATAATTACAACTTTCTTTCTTTATATATATATATATATATATATCCAACAACTCCAAAATATACTAAGAATCCCAAAAAAATAAAAAACAAATCATCCCCGCATCTTTCCAAAAAAATAAAAAAACAAATCATCCCCACATCTTTCCATACACCCATAGGAAAACTAGATTCATTTTCCTACACTCATAGAGTGGTTTTGCTTGGAGCAAAAGAGTGCTTCTACATGAGCAAAAATATTTATCAAAACTTGTGGGAACCTGTAAACTTTAACCTTTTAAATTTCCAGCTACGATTATAATGAATCTTTGCATGTGATTAGTTTTGATCTTGTGATGTCACGATGACCTTGTTTAATTGTATGTGATGGCTTCCTCTTCAAGCTTCGAGGTTGTAGCCCATAATTTACATAATCCCAATAGTTTCTCTCGAAAACCACTTTAAAATTTTGGTCAAAGATGGTGTAATAAGACTTTAAAACCAATTGCTCTGCTACAGATGAAGTCATTGCACAATGTTACATCTACTCCAAGTTGCAGAGTTATTTGAAATATAGAGATGGCCAACATGCAATCCCTAGGATAATACTCATAGTTTCGCCATTCAAATGTCATTTATACGTAGGAAAAAAAAATCTTTCTAGAAAGATATAAGTGAATTATCTTCTTCTAGGTTGGTTTTTTTGGTATGTTTGGGAAAGCCAATTAAACCATATTTTTTAAAAATTTAAATTTTATTCTTATTTAAAATTAAAATTTTTAGATTTTTAGATTTTTTAATATACTAATGTTAAAAATAATTTTTAAAAATAAAAAAAATATTATTTTGATATATTTCTGAGTGAAAAACACTTTTTATACTTGCGAGATACTGTGAGGTAATTTTCTAAGCTAATTTTTAATTGATTATAAAATGATTAAAATAAATATTTTTAAGAATTTGAAAGATTTAAATTCTAAAAGAGAAAATATATTTTTTAAGTTAAAACCCTTATTTCTTATTTATATATTTTTCTTTTTGATAAACAATGTCTTTTTTTTATTATTAACAACATTTTGATTTTAATAAAAATACAAGATAATTCAAATGCATATTTGCAAGAATCTCATTAATTAAAATAAAGGAGTGCAAAATTTTCCTATTATCTTTTTATTAGCATGTTTTATTTGATCAAAAACTCATTAAAAAGCAAGTTTCAAACAAAACAAAAATAAGAACGATGTCTTCATAATTTTTATGTGGGTATATGAAAACTGTATAACAATTAACAATAAAAAAACTAATTAATTCCCATTCATTATTTATAATCAGTTTTTATGATTTATTGCAAATTGGCTTATGTAAAATTGTTAAAAAAAAAGATGATTGCAAATATAAGCATTACATGTATAATCTCATTTAAAAATTATGATATAGTTAGATAATTTGTTGAATAGCATTACAATTATTAATTTAAATAAATATTTATTTTAAATTTACAAAAGGACTAATTGACATACATACCTACGTCAAAAAAGAAAAAGGTAGGTGCATTCCTACTTTTATTTATATTTATATTAAATAGATCACATGTCATTCATTCAATGTAAAATAAAAATAAAAAGGACAATGCAATCATATGTTGCAATAATTTTTTGGCCATCAAAAAATTAAGCCAAAT